CACTACACAAAGAAAGTTGGAAAAAAATATGTTCTGAAAGTAAAAGCTCTCACTAGGTGATAAGTCTCCTTAAATAGTACATAAGAAGAAAATCAAGATCAAAAATGAATAAGTTCCTTTGACAGTTAGGAAATGAAAGAATATCCTAATTGAATATTTCTTATGGAGAAAAGTTTTTGAGAAATAGGTCCTTGGAGAAAGCTAGAATTTTTTTTTTTAAATTTTTATATTTAACATTTTTAAATATTCTCCTTTTCCTTTTTTAAATCTATCCTTTTGTAGTTTCTGTATTCCAGCAGCTTAATAAGATATATAGTGGTGACAACCTTCTAGCAATAATATAATGGACTAGAGGGTTTTTACCCAAAGACATTGTATAATGAAATGTTGTTCTTAAGACTAAACTTAGAGGCTTTTATGCTTACAATAAGTTAGTTAAATTACAATAATAGTTTAGATATAGTATGTATTATACTGCATGAATAAAAATATACTTATGTTTTCAATTAATTAATAAACTGACAATTTAGCCTGGCTACGGATACTCAAAAAAATAATTGTAGAATTTGTTCTATTTCTTGTTAATCAATTAGATCAATATTTGATTCTTTTTTATATATTGTTTAATTGTTTTTAAAAACTTCTCCTATTGTTTTATTGAAGTTTATTGTCAATTAAATCTTATGTTTGATTTGTAATAAATAAATTATTTGTGACTATTCAAGTTCTATATTTTTATTTTTTTTATTATTGTAATATAATTATTATCAATAAGAGCTAAATAAAATCTCTAGTATATACTTTTTTTGATTACAAGAAGTGAGTATATTGATTCAAATATAATTAATTCTCTTTTAATACTCTAAATTATTCTTAGTAAATTCCTTTAAGACAGAGTCATTTATTCTATAAGTATCTTTAAACCTTAATAAAATAGAAATTTTATATATGAATAACTTAATTTTTTTGTTTTAAATAGTCTTGATATACTAATTCTATTCAATCTTGAATTATTATCTTTTTTAAATGCTGATTGAGCCAAAACTTTATTGAGAAATCTTTACATAAGATGGAGGAAACAAAGTTTTCCTAAGAGATATATAAGAAACATTTAAATAAATAAAGTATTACAATAGAAGAGCTTCTTTGTGGAGACTTCAACTTATGGCCTGGCTATCTCTTAAAAAGGAAAAGAAGACTAGTCTAAGGTCTAACTAATGCTGAAAAAAATTTCTTAAAACTATGTAGAACACCAGATAAATGACCTAAATTTTCTGCACCTGCTAACCATTTACTAGAGATTACCATCAACCAATCCAACACCTTGCAAATTATCTACTAGAGTACTGTGTCTCTTTATCTTTAGAAAGAAGTGAGGTAAAGAAGGGAAGGGGATTACTCATTCAAAGACCTGATGAAACCTGTGGTCAAGGAGATACATTAAAACCTTTGATGGAGTTAATGAATCCAATCCTATAAGTAATATCATCTTCAAGCATATGCTACTTATTTAAGAAGGTACAACTCTTCCAAAGATAAATTCAGCTTATAGGGAATTCTCCATTTTGATAAAAGTTTTTAACTAGTACTTTCACTGCAAATAAGAATGATGGGTATTACTGGCAACTTACAACCTTTCTTAAGGATGAGGTTTCATTGAGAGCCTTAGTATTATTTTGGTTTCTGGTCCTCCAGCAAATCATGAATCAGGAGTAAAAAACCCACAGACTGGGAAAAACTTCCTGTCCACCTTGTTTGTTTTTTATAAGAAAAAAATAGAAGGATAATAAAAATGAACTTTGAATGAAATTGAATATAAATCTGAAAGTAATCTTGTAAAATAGGAGAACTATATATTTGATCTTGTTCTTGAATATGAAAATAAAAACCCTGTTATTTTTCTTTCTAACTGTTTTAAATCTGAGAAATCCACTTCAAAACTATTTATTAAGATTTTAACAAAGGAATAACAGGACAAGATTCAATAAATTCTATTTGATAACAAGGATACCTTTGTTGATCATATTTGCAAGTAAGGTCAAACAAGTAATTTATAAAGAATCATAGTTATTATCCATAGCATTAATACTGAAAATATTATTTCAATCAAATTGCAACTATACAAGGTCTTATCTGATCAATGGGAATTCATTAAATAAAGAATTGATAAATGTTGCAGTGAGAAATTATCAGTTTTATCATTATCTTCTGATCTTTTTTTATTGTTATGATATTTAAGAAAATAATAAACAATGTTTTTGTGTTGACTATAGGAAACTTAATACAGTTATTGAAAAGAATGTTTATCCCATGACAATTATTGATAATATTTTGGAAAACTTCAATAGAACTTAATAATTCAACTGTTTTAATCTAGCAAGTGGATATTGACAAGTTGCAATATGTAATAGGAACAAGAACAAAACAACATTCACAATAAAATATGGTCTATATTAATTTAATGTTATATCTTTTGATCTTTGCAATGCTTTCTGTAACTTTTTAGTAACTAATGGACAAAGTTTTGACCCATACCATGACAAATTTGTTGAAGTTTACCTTGATTATATCACCATTTTCTCCATCACTTTTGAACAACACTGCCAAATGTCTCCACTATCTTGGATGCTCTCAGGGAACCCTCTTTGATGCTAAATTCAGAAAAATGTCACTTCTTTCTATTAAAGTGAAATTACTTGATCACACAATTAACTGCGAGAGAATCTTAACCTGATGATGACAAAATTGTGAAAGTCAAGGAATTCCAAGGTTTACCACCATTATGTAATAGTCTTCCATGTAAAAAATATAAAAGTAAATTCTAAAATTCAATTGAAAAACAGATGACTCTTATGAAAAGTGTGTTGTAAGTAGTTTTCGAGAAACTACCTTAAGAACTCGCCCAAAACTTATAGCACCTCTGCCTTTTTGTTTGTATGCATGTATTTTGTTTGTTTGAGGTGAGAGACACCTCTATTTACAGATTATGCGAGCCTTGAGTCATTAACAACATACTTGCCGATCAGCCTGCAACAGTTTTTGGTAGATTCAAATTGAGACAAATTGGTTACCTCTCCTCTTCCTGACTTTTTTTTTTTTTTACGAACGTACACCGTATTTTCTACACGTCTTAGATAGAAAGATATTTTTTGAGTTGGAAACTTTGATCAAAGTATCATTTAAAAGAGAGAGAGAACGAGAGAAATCATGACTGAAGAAATATTTGAAATATTTGAAGAACCAATATACGATGAACCATTAATACATGAGAATGACCCCGGTGAATGTCATCCCATGAATATTGACCAAGTCTTTGAAAAAAGCTCTTAAGGTACTAGTAATGCTCAAGGAGAGCAAGAAACAAATTGGGTTCGCGTCCGTAGTTACTACGAAGAGGAAGAAAAAGATTCATATAAGTGGCTCAAATTATTCGATCGTACTGCGGGTGCCAATAATTGGTTAGAAAAATGAAAAATTAAAATTGCATCATGTTAATTGGTAGGAATGTCTGCTGATTGGTATCACGAAATAAGGCAGATTTAAATTATTGGGATAGTAAGGAGCACATTGAAAAAGCTTCGTTCCCGCATTTCTGAAGTATTTTGCTACGGTAGAATGGAAGCATCAGTGGCAAGATGAATTAATTCGCTAACACAAAAGGAAGATAAGGTTGGGACATACTGTATGTATATAAATTAAAGAAATTGATGAAAAGAGTCGATACAGGACAAAAGCTGCTGCAGGCATACGTCGTACGTACATATGTTTATTGGAAGCAAGAAGGGGAATATTTCATCCCTCATAGCCATCGTTGCACTAGAAACCTTATATGAGGCCATAATGATCACCAAAAGGATTAAAATTAGAAAGAGAAACCGACTGATTGAGCGATCAATCTAGAAGAAAATATGCACGAACTCACCCAGCAAATACAGAGCATATCGGCAAACTATGTTTGTCTAACAGCCATGTTAACTAATCAATTAAAGACGCGACCCTAAACTAGTCTGAGCGATACTACTTATTTCAAGTGTGAAGAAAAAGGCATTATTTTAAATATTGTTTGTCAAAAAGGTCAAACTCAGATACTGCTAAAAGAAGGACTTTTTGACCACGATAACTTTGGTGAGTTAGTAGATGAAGGATACTGTATGACTATAACAGCTATATCACTAAACTGTTCCAACTGTATCTTCGAAAAGGATAAAGATAAGCGCAACAGAATTCCGAGTATATGGTAGAAGAGAGCCTTAGAAATAATAAAGGAGACGGAAAGAATGCTCGAGATGAAGAAGAAATTGAAACTAATGTACCGGCCGAAGAGCTTGCCGATGAATTGTCACCTCCGCACCGAATCCTGCGAAAAAAGAGAGCACTGTCTATGATTGAGTCTGCAGCCGTCTATAACATATTTGACGATCTTCTTACTAAGCCGGCCACCGTTATAATGTATGTCAGTTGTTACGATATTCCGACCAAAAGAAAAATTTGGCCAGAGCCTTAAGACGATATGTGGTGAAAGAAGAAATCAACCATATGGATACGAATGAAAAGAAGCCATCTGCTATGAGATATTATATAAGAATTAGGAATAACCTCATTATCTCCATATTATATAATGGTGCCATGGTAAGTTTTATTATGAAAAGATTGATGGACAAACTGGGCTTACGAATCGAGGAGAAAATAGCATCCGCTTTAGTGCTTCCGGGAATTTACTGATACTATTCGTGGGGATTATTGGCTTTCACTTTAAAATGCTCAATATCGATGACAACTTATAAATATATCAATTGTAAATAATGCGGTAAGTTTAAATTTAATGAAATTCTGTCGACACAATCTATTTAATATGCAATTTCTATTCTTCAGAAAAAGTCACACCTTTCGCGATTAAAAATTAATTCATTTTTTATTAGAGCGCTCTTCTGCGAAACAATTAATTCAAAATTATCTTAGTGAATTTTACTTTCTATCACTCAAGGGTTGCTTTCCTAATTTTAAATGACCCTAAACACTTCATAGTCTACGATTGAAAAACTTTCGCAGGTTTTTCTGATCTCTCTTTCGTAACCACTACTCCACGCTTGATTACAATAATTCCTTTTGTCTCGAGTGAAGTCTGATGCTTCGGTATACATACACAGTGCATATCCAAAATATGGACCGCATCTATTTTGATCAACGAGACTTGCGTTGAAAACTGCTTGATTACTACCATTCTTTTGCACTCGACTAACAATTGAATTTTGAGTCAAATTCTTTAGTGAAAAAACAAAGCTTTTCTCTGTCTCCATCCAAACCCCACTAGTGGTTTTATCCCACACTAAGGGGTTATATCCACCAAGGATTTCTTCTGTTCCTTTCACCTTTAATACCGTCACCGTATTTGAGCAACCGTGGCAATTTTTCCAAAAAATTTTAGGATCAAATCCATCACGACTACCTCTTAAAATCAATTGAAACATATCCATTGCAGGACTAGTTCGGGATTTGCGTTCAATCCAGGATGAAATCTCAGCCAGATGTTCATCATTTAAAATAGTCGAAAAGGGTTCACTTGTTCTAGGCTCTGAAGCGTAGGCCAATCTTGCTGGTAAAATAATCGATCTAACCGGTTTATCTGGAAGGAGCCTATGTTGTATCAAGTCATTCCAAAGTTGCTCATCGAGGACTTCCTTGTATGGTTTCACCTTTTCCCACAGATCAGCATTAGAAATTTGGAAATAACGAATGTGTGGCAATAAATGTTTTAGAGTATTCTTTAAATCCATGCAATCTTTCCCAGACCACTTTTCTGGATTTGGAGACAATGTAGGATTCCTTACAACTCCCCAGAGAATAATGTTTTCCCAAATCTTGACTTCTTCTATTCTTAGATCTTCGCGTTTGATAATCGAGATCAAAAGTGATTCTTGGAAAGAGGTAAAATCCTCACTATCAAAAACAATATTTGGATTTTTCGCAATGTTGTCATTGCAAAAATCTTCCAAACACTTAAAGCTATTATGCTGAAATATTAATTGATAAACATATGAAAGATGCGAATTTATCCAAGAGGGTTCATTTTCAACAAGATGGGTTTCTAATTTCTTAGATAATTCTATAAGCATGAGGTCACCTGAAGCAATCATTAGATCAAATATAGTTTTAATATCAGCATTCTTTAACTCAACAGTTCCACCATAGATATATCTAAAATATCTGCATGAATTAGCTACTGTGTCACCAAAAGTTTACAGTGAGATAGGATAAGAATAAAACATACCTGAGAGCAATTTCAAAAACTTGAGGAGTAATTTTTGGTAAAAAAATCTTTTTTGTTACATGTTTACGTTCAGGGGTGTCGGATAATATTGCACAAAAGTAAGATGACCGATAGTGTAACACCGCTGAGTGAGCAGTAAAGGTCTTCTTATTCTGATTTTTGCCGACCTCAATAGTCAGATCGCAGTATTTTTCATCAGTCAAAAGATTGGTGAAGTCTTGAGAAAACTTGTCGAAGAATTTTAGTGACATTTTTTATTAAATAAGCAAATTTAGATCACAATGAATAAAATATGTACGACTCTTCACGTGGTAGAATATAAGTACCGGAATGACATCATAATTTACTGCGGATTTCGGATACTGATCATTTTATTGAAAGTTAACAGCAATTATGACAGAAGCAAGCTAATTACAGTAATAATACAAAATATTGAATACTCTTACAGTAATTTAAAATCAGCGCCAAATTAGAAACAGCGACCACAGTACGACTAGCAATCAGGAATTTCAAAGTAAATTTAAGTCTCTTTCTTTATCTGACATTAGAACAAGGTAATACTTCATCCACAAGCTTCTTTTTCGCCCTCTAAAAAGTATGCATGAATTCAAATACATGAATTTTAATCTATTTAGATGCACTGCCGGGAAAAAATTTTTTTGTGTGAAAACAATGTTTTCATGTGATATTGATTTTTTCCATTAAATAACTTCAATAATTGGATTTTACAACTTATATTTTATTATTATTATTACTATTATAACTGATAGCTAGACTAATAAAAATAAATAAACAATAAATATACAGTTTGTGTTATTTTTTTTTATTTTTAATAATTTTTTACTTCCTTTTTATATATATTTATGTAAAATTTTAACACTCGATTATTTAATTTTTTATTTATATTGAATTTTTTTAATACTTCAGAATTTTATAAGAGTCAAATTCCAATTTTATGTTTCAATGATACAATACATAATTATTTGTGTTCAATTTATAGTTTGTTAATTAAAAAAGATATCAAAATTTTATAAATATTAAAAAAAAAACAATAATAATCAATTTTTTTAAAAAATATGAAAAAAACAAAAAAATAATTCAATAAATTAAATCTATGATATAATGATATACTGTGTATATATATTATATACAGTTGCTTTCAAAAGTTTGAGTCTACTTATTATATTTTTATTATAAATTTTAACTTGGAAAATTTTAAAATCCTTAATTATACAACTAAAAATTATAAATTCATATATATGTATATTATATTTTTATACTTGTTTTATTTATTATATTTTTTTCAAAAAAAATTTTATATATAATTTTTAATGTTTTATTATTATTGAAAAATTTCGTTCTTTATCAAATTTTTATTTTTAGAGAATTTTAATTGACTATTATATAAATCATATGATAATTAATAAAAAAATAAAAAAATTTAACAATAATAAAACTTTAAAAATTAAATACAAATTTTTTTAAAAAAATATAAGAAATAAAATAAATATTAATATAAAAATTGATAAAGATATATGGGCAATTGCATCATGGCTAAACTAAAAGACTTGTATTGATACACTCGTTAATAGTTTTCAATTCTCAAAAGAGCTTTAGCCTCTAAGTACAACTTTGGAAACAATATTTCACTCTGAACTAAGTTTTAGGTAAAGACCCTCCTAACTTATCTATTATTGCTAGCAAGTTGTCACTGCTTATTATTCTTCAAGAAACTGAATTCAAGAAACTACAAAAAAGGAAAAGAAAATAAAAAAAAAGTAGAATATCTAAAAATGTGCAAATGCACTATATAAAAATAAAAAGAAATAAGAAAATTAAAATATTCTATATTCTCCAAAGACTTCTGCTAGAAACTTCTTCTTATTAGAAGTTAACTCTTCTGAGATATTCTTCTTCTTCCTGACCTTTTGAGGAATTTATTAATCCATACTCTTGATTATTTTCTTATGACCATCTGAGGTACTTATCACCTACTTGGATCCAATGTCTTGCTTAATACTTTCTTTCTTTTGATCTTGATTTTATATCTACCAGCACAGAATAAAATGACTAATGGTGAATCCCAGATTCTTATGTGACTTTTTAATCTTGTTGAGTAACTCCCAATATCTTTTAGTAGTCATGTCTAATTAAAGAAATTTTACTGGTATTCATCTTAATTGTGATATCATTATACAACATCTGAATAAATGCATTCTCAATCCTAGAAAAGGGTAGTATTTTACATTTTTCTGCTTTTCAGTCTTACAGCCTAACTGGGATAAGGAAAAAACCTCCTTCACATACTTTGTCTAACTGAAATAATAAGAAGTTAAAGGTCTTAACTTGAACAAATAACTACCTTTTCCTCACTTAGAGAATTTAGTATCTATTCTAATGGCCTCATAATTTCTTTGCTTCAGTTAAACTTTATTTAAAGGAGTAGAGAAGTTCATATTCTTGATTTTTCTTTCCATCACCAATGACATCATTGGAATATGTAAGGTGACCAATAGGAGCTTGTTTACATTTAGCTATTAATATATTTCATGTTAACCAATCAGATGCCAAATGATGTTGTGCTATCAAAAATTTAAGATCAAACTGAGGTAGGCAAAATCCCTCAAGAAAATCATGAAAACTAGTAAACATTTTAAGAGGGCATAAGACAGTATGTAAGAAGGTGAAAAATAAGTCTTCCCTTGCCAACAAAATCTCTATTTTTTGTTACTTTCAGCTCTATAAGGTGACATTTCACTTGTCAGTTCTTTTACTTCCTAAAACCTTCTTAGTATGTACTTGAGTCTTTTTAGGTTACTAGAGGCTCAAGTTTTTATTCAAAAAAGTTTATAAACAAGTAAGAGAGGGTAGCAAAAATAAATAAAGACA